CCGGGAGTGCCCGGCTCTGGCGCAGCCGGCCCCTGGCTCTGCCGGGGTCCCCGGCCTCCCCGTCTGTAAACCGGGGTTCGTTAGGGTACAGCCTCCTTCCCGCGGTTGTGAGGTCGCAGTGGCTGCTCCTAAAGGGAAGCGGCTCACCTGTCCCTGTTTGGTCCTGAGATAAAAGGGGACACCAGGGTCTTTCCCTTGCTCACCTGGGTGGTTCCTCACGATTCCCGGCTCCCTTAGCTCCGAAAAGCGCTCCTGCTGCTGGCCTCTCTCTGCACTCAAAGCAAAGAGACTCCAGCCTGGTATTTGTGACGGAAGGTACCTGGTCCCATCACAAATATCACGGAGAGGCCTTCCCTGCCACCTGCATTCATTAAGGTTAGTAAATCAGAGGAGAACGGCCCTATGTTCTTATCAAGAGATGCTAGAGAAAACGCTAGAGAAAATTTCGCAGAGAATTTAATGAACAGACTGAAAGGATGTAACAGAAGACAGTACATGGAAGGACTGGGGTGCAGGGAGGGTGGGTGGCTAGTTCTGCCTAGAGTTGGAGGGTGCTTCCCAGGAGAGGTGACAAGTGAACTGAGTCGCAAAGGATGAGTAGGGGAAAGGGCGTCTCTGGCGGGAGGCACAGCGTGTGCAAAGGCCCAGAGGTGGGAATGGGTAGGCACGTCTGTTTTGTGTCTGCAGCTCTGGGTGGGGAGTTAGTCCTGGGGGGTGAGGCTGGAGCAGGGTGCGGAGCCAGGTGATGTGGGGTGTTGGGCTCCGTGGTGATGAGCTGGGGCCTCGTCCTGCAGAGGGCCTGCGGGAGCTGAGGGGTGTGAGTTCGTGGTGGGGCAGGGACCTCGTGTGCCTCACCCCCCTGTCCCCAGAGCCTGCACTGAGAGTAGCTCAGGGGATGTTTGGGAAATATGCAGGAACCGCTTGGCTGGCGAAGGCTGATCCTATAGGGCTGGGCCCGAGATGATGGCTCCTTCAAGAGGCACCAGCTGGCGCTTGCCGACCTTGCCCAGCTCCTGGCAGCAGCCGTCGAGGGACCACCCTGCCTCTGCTGGCCAGCTAGTCAGGATCTGCGAGAGCTCTTGCAGGCTCCCCTGAGCCTGCTGCATCCCGGGGTTCACCTCCCGGCGCTCCAGGTCCAGCTGCAAGCGTTCACCAGGATCTACCACCAGGTGGCAACATCGGCCACCTTACTGGCCTGGCCCTTCTGCCCCCTGGCGGCCAAGGACACCTTGGCCCTCCCTGCACAGCCCATGCACCTGAGACCAGAGGAGTCACTGGGTCCAGGGCTCTGGCTTTCCCAATGGGGAGACTGAGGCCCAGAGAGGGGAAGTGGTTTGCTGAGGACACATCCACAGTAGGACGTGACCAGGTCTCTCTCATCCCTGCAGTCAGCTCCTCCCAGGAAGGGAGTCAGGGAGGGTCTGGGATCCATAAACGCCAGGAAGGGAAGTGTGGCCCCTGGGCATGGGAGTGTCGTGCACCCACAAAGTCTCAGGATAACTCCAAAGTCTGTGTGACAAAGAACAACAAACACTTCTGTGACTGCAGGAAAGGGGCTTGGAATGAGCCAGAACTGGAAGTCACCATTTGGGACCCTGGGCAATAAGATGCATGCTGTCAACTCTCCATCAAGAGAAGGCTCTGAGCGTCACCTCTGAGTAGGACCCGCCACGACCCCAGCCAAGGCCTGTCTGCCTTGCAGGCAGAGGCCCCCTCTGCACACATAGGACCTGAAACCCATGTCTTTGCAGGGCCACAGAAGCCATGGGCCTCAGTTTCCCTGTAGCTTTGAAGCCCGACCCCACAACCTGCCCATTGTCTTAACCCATGGTTCTCGTGGTGTCAGGGAGCCCAGGAAGGCTCTGGAGCAGCAGAGCCCGTGTCTATTTCCTTCAGGAAGATGGATGGGGGTGGTGTGGGAGGAGGGGGCCGGTGTCCGTGTGTGGCTGATGGGGGGGGTGCCTACACTGGAGACCGGGAATTCCTTGCAGAGTCTGGGCCTCCAGCTTGAGGCTCAAGCAAAGGTGGCAGACTCCCCTCCCTACAGTCTACCTACCAAGGGTTAAAACCTAGAAGAAAGCAGGGAGGAAACCCTGTTCTGATTTGCTTAGTGAACGTTAATTAAGAAGACAGAAGATAGTGGATTTTTTCAAGACAGAGATGAAAGGCCTATTAATTAAATCTGGGGAGATCGTCCCAGGGCCCTGCTGATCCCGCCTGACAGCTTCACAGCCTCCTTGGAGCCCCGGATTGGGGGCATCAGTACAAGGGGAAAGAAGCCTCCGCCCCAGGCCTTGGGGCCCTGCCCTGGAGTCCAGGGAAGGAGCCTCGGCTGGCCGGGATTCACTGTGGCACCCTGTGGGCCCTGCCCCTCTGATGAATTAGGCAGTGGTGGGTCATCGTAAGAGCCACAAAGGAAGTAGATGAGTTTGGGCAATCAGGGGAGGCTTCTCAGAGAAGGTGACAACTCAGCAGAGACCTGTAAGATGGGATGGGAGGCAGGGAAGAGAGGCAGTGCTCATACTGATGGGATTTGACAGGGGGGTCCTAAGCTGTCACCCTCACAGAGCATCTTTTCCCTGGAGTTAACAAGCTCAGACAGGATAAAGGACAAGGCTGGCCTTGGGGCATGCCACCACTGAGTCTAGCAACTGTCCCAACCCCCCTGCTGTGCTGGGCCCAGGATGAGCCAGCCTGGGTAGCCTTCAAATCAAGGAGGCCCCGATAGATAAAGAATGCCCCCATTTGGGGTGGTGCAGGGGCTAGAGGCTGAGCTGGGAAGGAGGGGACAGTGGCTGTCCATCATTCATTCATTCACTGGGCAGACTGACTGAGTCCATGGCATAGGCCCTGGGCTGGCACAGGGGAGGGAAGGATGAATAATGGTGAAACTGGCCTTACCCTCGGGGGCCCGGGGGGTAAACTGGTAATTACNCTCACTGATAGACACTGACTGAGTCCATGGGACAGGCCCTGTGCTGGGAAGGAGGGAACAGCATTGTCCATTCATTCACTCACTCACTGGGCAGACTGAGTCCATGGCACAGGCCCTGGGCTGGCACAGGGGAGGGAAGGATGAATAATGGTGAAACTGGCCTTACCCTCGGGGGCCCGGGGGGTAACTGGTAATTACATCGCAGGGCGAGCAGAGTGAGCACTGGGGCTATGTGAGTAGAGAGGTGTCCAGCCCTAGGCCAGCCTCTGGCCCCTGCTCGGTCCAGCTCCCGTTTCCTCCAGACACCTAGTGTCCAGGGCAGCAAGGCTCAGGCCTGGCACTCCCCAAGGAAATGCCCATGACCAGGTCTGCACAGACATGGTCCTGCTGTGCCCAGACACTGCCCCTGCACACAGCCAAGGGACACCAGGGTCACGGAACCTGCCGGTGGGTAGAATAAACATCCCAGCTGCCCCCCACCCCAGACTGTGGACCCATGAAGGTAGGCAGGGAGGGGTCTGACTCAGCCCCTGGGCAGGCAGAGGGGGCTCACAAAACACCTAGTGAATGAATAAAGGATGATGAATGAATGATAAATGGGTGGTAAATGAGTGAATACATTTTTTAAATGAGGGAATCTGAATGAAGTGAATGTCAGAATGAAGAAAGTATGAAGGAATGATGGTGGATGAATGATGGTGGGGGAATGAATGATGCTGAATGAATGCCTGCATGCCTACAGTGAGGGGCTCTCCCTCCTGGGCTCTCCTCACGCTCCCAGAGGGGCACCACCTGGCCGCCTCCCTCCCCACTTCTCTGACCGCGCAGGCCCCCCTCTCCCCCTGGCCACCCGGATGCAGTCGGACCAACCTCCTCCTCAATGCAGCCAGCGCATTCTCACCTCAGGGTTTGCAGGCGCCGTTCCCTGTGCCTGGGGCACTGTTCCCACAGGTTTGGGCACCCTTCCCTGCCCGTGTCCCTGAACGGAGACGCTGTCCTGGACCCTCCTCCCGGCCTTCCCCTGTGCTTCCCACCCAGGCGCCCAGGCCGTTTTCCCCACTCACCTCCTGACTCCTCACCGTTGCACTTGCTTGTCCGTGGTGTGTCTCCCCCATCAGACTGTGAGCTCCCTGGGGTAGAGCCGGGTTGGCCTCATTTCCGGCTGTGCTGCTCCCTGCACTGCCCAGCAGGGACATTTGCAGGGCGAATAAACGGGGACACAGTACCCATGGGACGCAAAGCAGCGAGGCAGGGCCCAGCGTCCCGGGCAGGGCAGCCAGCGGCTCCTGCACACGCTGGTCCTCCGCGGCCGATCCCACTCAAACAGGAATTTCGTTTCTGGCTCTTTCTGCCGAGGGGGAAACTGCAACTGTAAGTCAGCAGCAGAGCCCAGCAATGGAGGGCACGGCTCAGAAAAGGGACAGCTGCTCCCCAGCTGCCCTGGGGAGTCTTCATCTGAGTGCCCAGCGCACTTTGGGACCATGTAGGGACCCCTGAGCCTGAGTTAGAGCCCTGTCCGTCCCTGGGATCTGGCACGACCCTGCNCGTTTCTGGCTCTTTCTGCCGAGGGGGAAACCACAACTGTAAGTCAGCAGCAGAGCCCAGCAATGGAGGGCACGGCTCAGAAAAGGGACAGCTGCTCCCCAGCTGCCCTGGGGAGTCTTCATCTGAGTGCCCAGCGCACTTTGGGACCATGTAGGGACCCCTGAGCCTGAGTTAGAGCCCTGTCCGTCCCTGGGATCTGGCACGACCCTGCAGGGGGTCCCATTGCCCTTGAGTAATGGCATTTCTTGGGCCTTAACTCCAAGACCCCAGAACGCCTGCCTTTCTAGCCAGTCTCCTGCAGAACGTCAGACATGCCAGGCCCCTCCTACCCCAGGACCTTTGCTCCTGCCAGTCCCTCTGCCCACCAGGCTGACTCCTGCTCTTCCTCTAGGCCTCAGGATAATGTCACTTCCTCAGGATGCCCAGCCCCAGACTTCATGGCACTTCTAATGCTTGTTCCAGGTCCCTCTACCCCACTAGACTGTCAGCCCCGGAGGACAAGCATCCCGTGGCTTCCTGCTCTGTCCCTGACCTCTGCCCGGGCAGGGTGCACACGAGGTGGTCCAGAAAGAGTGAAGAAACTAGTGACTGTATGAAAGCAGGAGGGAGGGGGGAGAAATCTGGCAGCGAGGCCCAGGTCTCTGTGGGCTCTTCTCGGACGGACGCTGGCTCTAAAGGGGTGTAGGCCAAGGGCAGGGAGGCAGCCGGCAAGCCCAAGACGGGGATGACCGACAGTGGCAGTGCTCCTCCCCTTCACGTGGCTCCAGTCGGAAACAGTGAACTTTACAAATGTCAGGGAAGGGCGGGATTCTCAGCCCAGGACCCTGGGAGCCATTAGCATTCCGGTGCCTGCGCTAACCCAGGCGGAGGGAAATTTATGCCGCCTGCTGGGGCCCATGCAAGGCCGAGGCAGGAGCGCCTAGAAAATAAAATGGTGAGGCTGCCAGATCTATGCCTCCCCCAGGAGGTCATGGGGTGCCGTGGGGGCACCCGGAGGGCAGGGCGGTGGATAGAGGTGGGGCTGCCAGGGAGGTGGGGTGGAACAGGAGTCCCGCTCTTTGCTTCACCCTTGGAGGGGTGACCCCTCATCCTATCCCGCGTTGGGGCAGGCCCTATCCCTACCACCCGACTGCAAAGTCATCCAGATTCCTCCTCAAGGCAATGCTACTGGGGAGAGGGCATTAGCCCCGTGCTACAGATGGGGAAACTGAGGCTCGGGGGGGCAAAGTAACCTGCCCAAAGCGGCATGGCTGGGAGGGGCCAGGCAGGATCCGAACCCAGTCCTCTCTGATTTTCTTAGCAGCCTCCTTGCCCTGCCCTCCCCACCTCTCCCAGTGTCCTAGATACACCGCGTTTAGGATGGTCCACGGCACAGTCTGACTGGAATTCCCACTCCAGGCACTCACGGAGCTCTGCGTGGGCCGGGGCACATTTACAAACACGCTGTTCCCTCTGCTGAAATGCCCTTCCCCTCACACCTAGGGACCAGCCTGCTCCACGGCTCACTGTCTGTCCCTGTGGCCAGCAGGGAGATTTGTCTTTACGACGGAGATTGTCTACAAGTCACCTCTGACACAAGCTGTGTCGTAGGGCGGGCTGGGAGCTGCCCGGCTTCCTTCTGGATGTGAGTGTGGGGTGTGGGTGCTGTACGTGTGTGCATGGGTGTGCATGTGTGGTTCGTGTGCATGTGTGTGGAATGTGATGTGTGTGCGTGTGTGCAGTATGTGCATGTGTGTGGTGTGTAATTTGCACTGTGTGTGTAATGTGCACATGTGATGTATGTGCATGTATGTGGCATGTGATGTGGGGGTGTGTGCATGTGTGGTTTGTGTGCATGTGCGCAGTATGTGCATGCGTGTGCTGTGTAATTTGCACTGTGTGTGTAATGTGCACATGTGATGTGTGTGCATGTGCGTGCATGTGTGGTATGTGATGTGTGGGGTGTGTGCATGTGGGCACAGTAGAGAACTCTCCTGAGGCTGGAGACGGAGACCGGAGGGCTGTGGGCCCAGGGGGCGGGCCCAGCCGGCGGGCCCAGCTGCAGGCAGCCCCGGTTGAGCTGGGGGAGGAGCGCGGGATCCGACGGGGAGGGAGGCCCGTGCAGGCCCCAGAGCCTGAGCAGCTGCAGCCGTCATAGGCCCCGGCCTGGCCCGGCTGGGGGCCTGCAGGGCTCAGAGCCCACCGTGGGGGGAGGAGACACAGACTGCAGGGGCACTGGGGACGGGGGCTTGAGGCTAGCTTCTCAGGTACATTCCCCAAGGGACCCGGGGGGGG